CAGGAGCACCAACGCCAAGGGCCACCGAAAACCTTTCTCTGCAACCTCGTGGGGCGTCGCAGGCTTGGACTGGTGGCTTAACTTTGAGGGAACCCAAAACGGTTTAGGGTTTAGGGTTTAGGGTTTAGGGTTCCCCTAAATCTGAACACCCTAGAGCGCTAAAGCCCTAAACCCTAAAGTTTCGGAGCTCTACACCCCCAAATTCCCCCAAACCCCAGAGCCCTAAACCGCCCCCAAACCCCAAAACCCCCGAAAACCCTTGAGCTCTAGCTCTAAACCCCTAAATCCCCCCAAACCCGCAAGGTTCGAAAGCATTTTAGTTTGGGGAGTTCGGGTCCTCGAGGCCGCAGTTCTTTCGGATTTCTGCGGGTTCACCCGGGGAAAAGCGTAAACCCTAAACCCTAAACTATAGAGCTGATCTCCAGGCTTAGGATTTAGGGCTTGGAGTTATTAGGGGTTTAGGGCTTGAGGGTTTAACTTAGGGTTTGGGGTATTAGAGTGTTAGGGGTTTGGGTATAGGGTATTAGGGGTTTGGGGTCTAGGGTTTAGGGTTTAAGGTTTGAGCTATTACGGTTTAGGGTGTCGGAACCCTAAACTCTAACACTAAACCCTGCCGCTGAGCAGCACTCATCGCAGCGCTGTAGCTTAGCACGTTTGGTGTTGCCCGGCTGACCTGAGACAACAGGTGGTGGACATGACTATTCGTATTCAGACTACTTGATTGTGCTTCAAGGTTGGTGAGGCTTGTGCATACTCATACACCCTAAACCCTAAAGCCCTAAACCCTAAACCCCAAACCCACTACCCCTAATTAAAGCCTAAAGCCCTGAACCCTAAACCCTAAAGCCCTAAACCCATAAACCCTAAAGCCCCAAACCCTGAACCCCTAAACCCTCAACCTTAAAGCCCTAAACCCTAAACCCCAAACCCACAACCCCTAAACTGCGACAAACCTTGCCCCCCAAAAAATCCCAGGACCTGCTGGACGTTAAGGGCAAGAAGGCTCAGTAAGGATTGTAAGGTTCAGCTTTCCAGGGTCTTTCAGGGATCCTGTTTAGAGTTTAGTGCTTATAATTTAGGGGTTATAATTTGGGGTTTAAGGCTTATAATTTAGGGCCGATAATTCGGGAGGGTTTAGGGCTTATAATTTAGGTGTTATAATTTAGGATTTAGGGCGGATAATTTAGGGCTTATAGTTGAGGGTATAATTTAGGGATCCTGTTTAGGGAAACTGCACAAACCTGTACCTTAGACTTAATCCCTAAACCCACTTACACCGAAGGGCAGTCGTCCAGTCCGCAACACCCAAGCACCTCTAAACCTTAAACCCTGAGCCCTAAACTCTAAACCCTAAACCCTCGGCCCTGAACCATAAAGGCCCTAAGCCCTAAACCCCAGGCCCTAAACCCTAAACCCTAAACCAAAGAGCGACAGGGCACGGCCATGCTTGAAAGCAGCTGACACGCCACCAGCCACCGGAGCTCCTGCGATGGCTTTGGCTCAAGGGATAGGGAACCCCAAAGGAAGGACAGCCCCAAACCTCTGGGTATAGTATAGCGTATAGGGTTTAGGGTTCAGGGTTGAGGGTTTAGGGTTCTAAACCCGGCACCCTTCTTCTACTGCTGTGGGTGTCGGAGAACTGACTTCCCAGAAAATTAGGGACGCTGAGATGGACCCTGAATAGTAAGGTCCGTCTTATAAGGACCCACGAATGAGGGGAACCATTGTATTTCTGAAATCACCACTACTCTGCTACAGTTGTAAGTAGCAGCCAGTAGCAGCCATCATACCATGAACCTCCACCTCTTTCTTGCCCAGAAACCCTTAACCCCTAACATCCTCAATGCTCGAAGAGCTCTCCATCCTCATGCTCGAAGATAGTCTTCCGCCTTTGCAGTCGACGTGGGTAGTGCAGTAGTCATACACAGCATAGGGGCACCTCTGCCCTTCACCTATCTGCACACTCCACCGCTGCGGCGGGTCCTCCACTTCTGCCTCGACGTGTCGAGTCCTCTTCGCTACCTCACTGCACAAACTGCTCTGCTTCCTCTGCTCGTGCTCTTGGACCCACGCGGAGACTATGTCCACAGCGACCTTCTTCAGCTCTGGAATCAAGCCCCTATACCGCTAGCTAAACCATGAAAACATAACCGTAAACCCCGAAACCCTAAAGCCCTGAACCCCTAAACCGTACACCCCTAAACCCTTTAGGGATTTTTGCTTAGTGCAATAGAGCGGACTTCACGACCATCCCAGCCTCGCCCTCAAGATCCCTGGCCGCGGTCCTCTTCACAGCTGCTCAAGATAGCCGTGCAGGCCCAGACCTTTGCAGTAACACGCACTAAGGTTTCGGGTTTAGGGTTTAGGGTGTTTGTTGGGGGTTAGGTTTTAGGGGCTTAGGGGTTTAGGGGTTCGGTGGTGTAGTGTTTAATGAGGAGTTACTCCTCGTCTTCCAAGAAAGCCAGAAAGCCCAATACCCCGCGTGTAACGAATACAGCTCAACTTGGTAGGGAACCTAGACTATGATCAAAGGGATAGTCCTGAAAGGGGTATGGGGTTGTTCTCCGCGTTCTTGAACTCGTTAACTTGCTGATACACGACTCACATTGTAAAGCAGAGCTCCCGCAAGTTATAGTGATGTTCGACATGTATTCACCCGGTTTAGTATGCACTATACCACAAGGCTACGAGATGACAACGGAGGAACATTACGCTGCTCGCAGCTCTTGAGTCTTCTGCACGGGAGTTTGAGAAACATGAAGACGGAGTCAGGGACCCAAAATTCAAAACTTAAGCATTTAGTAGGATCATGATTGTAAAGACCCGCTGGAAAACGAGCCGTAATGGAAGAACTCTCCGTACTACTCAACCCCAAACTCACTAACATGAGTGCTCTAAACCCCAGACCCTAAAGCCCGAGACCCCGAAGCCCCCAAGCCTTAAACCCCCGCACCCTCGAGCCTCTTCTCTCTAAACCCGTAGAGGAAGCCTAAATCCCTAGCCCCTTATGTGAAGCCTAAACCCTAAACCTAAGCCCCAAACCCTAAACCCTATAAACCCTATAAGCCCTAAACCCCAAACCCTAATCCCAAAGCCCCAAACCCTAATCCCAAAGCCCCAAACCCTAAACCCTAAGCCCTAAACTCTAAACCCCAAACCCTAAACCCTAAGCCCTAAGCCCTTGAATTTAAGGCCTTGGGTCTCTGACAGCTGGGCCTGGCACGTTCTGAGAGCCGGCACGGCCACTCGTCCGGAGGAGATCTGCAGGGTTTAGGGTTTGGGGCTTAGATTTGGGGTTTAGGGTTTAGGGTTTAGGGTTTGGGGTTTAGGGCTTATAGGGCTTATAGGGTTTATGGTTTAGGGTTTGGGGCTTAGGGTGTAGGATTTAGGGTTTAGGGTCTGGGGTTAAGGACTTTGGGTTTAGGGTTTGGGGTTTAATCATTCGGGCTGAGAGTATCTAGGGAATACGGCTGGCTTTGAGTTCGAGATCAAAGGGCATTGGTCCAACAACGTCCACACACTCTGAAACCCGGCTTGGGGTTTAGGGCAGGGATCAGGAGGTCCGCACACACGACTTAGACATCGCATGGGCTGGGCGGCAAGAGCTGCACAGAGCATCTGCTCACGCTAAAGGTCCATGTGCCCAAATACTTAGTGCTGTTGATTGCTTTTGCCTTAAAATCCTTAAAAGAGGGGCCAAATTATATGTGTATGTATATATATATATATATTAGTACTATTTGGGCGCATGGGCCCTGAAGGCAATCTCCGTAAAGGAGCTCAGCCCAGGCTTCCAAGCTCACGGACATTTTCTCCACTCCCTCGCATGGTCTTGCCTGCACATGTCATCCGAACATCTTATCTAAGAACTGCGGGTTATGTAAGGTTCAGGGACTATCAGCTGCAAGAAAACTATTCTCGGCGACTGCAGGCGCAAGTTTTGATGACATGTGCAGACACGCACCCAAACCCTTCCATCTTGCAAAGAGGTTAGCACAAAGAGCCCCTTGCATAAGGTAGGGGCCTTAATGGTTAGAATCCGGTTTTGGGATATAATATACTAGATATAATATACTATAAGTGTAATAAGGACCCCCCCCAAAAAAAAAAAAAAGTCTTGGCAATTGTTCAGGCCTTGCCTCAACCCTGAGTCGGAAATTGCTCCTGTGTTCATGTCGTCCTCTCCTCTCAACTATCGGAATGGCAGCTAACCCTAAACCCTAAACCCTAAACCCAAAGGACAGGACCTGATACGGGAGCCTCAGCTCTACTTATAGGCCCAACGCACTTGCACGTGAGAGGCCCCCTTTATTTATGCATTGAGAGGTCGATATAGCTGCAGGTTGAAGCACTGGACATCCCTCCGCAAGCAAACGGCTGGGAGAAGATGCTTTTTGGCTGTGTGCTTCTGCGATGTGAATACGAAGCCCCCTTTGTCCTCTCTTCCTCTCCGTCTCCCTCTCTCTGTTGCTCTTCCCCTCTGTCTCCTTGACCTCTCCCCTTGCCTCACTCCCTCCTGCCCTCCCTCCCACCCTCCCTCGCCCTCCCTCCCCCTCCCTCTCTCTCCCTCTCGCTCTCTCTCTGTCTCTCTCTCCCCCTCTCTCTTTCTCGCTCTCTGTGTCTCTCTGTCTCTCTCTCTCTCTCTCTTTCTCTCTATTCCTTTTCTCTCATCTACACCTCCGTCATACAGCTTCTAGCTCCCCAAGCACAGCGACAAAAACGAGTGGGCTCTCGCCGTTCTCCTGCGGAGATCGCGTGTGTGTTTCCTTAGAACCCAAATCCAACCATCAGCCGTGAACAGCTACGGATGCGCCGGATGGGCAGCTTTCCCAAGTCATGCGGTTTGAGGCGTGGGATTTTGGGGTTTAGGGTTTAGGGTTTAGGTTTAGGGGTTTAGGGCTTATAGGGTTTTATGAAGCTTCTGCAAGGGTTCTCCGCTTTAGAGGGATTTTCCACAGCTCGGAGTGTCATCCTGATCCCTCAGCCGATGGACCGCTGGCTCACCATCGCTCCAATCGGAACATGTCGGAGTCCTTCCCGATGTCGTGGCTAAACCTGTTTCACGGTTTTGGGTTTAGGGCTTGGGGTTTTAAGGTTAGGGTTTAGGGTTTCGATGTTTAGGGTTTTTGGGGTGCATGAACTCCGAAGCCGATATTTCAGAGAACCATTGAATAGGCCAAGGTCTGGGTGTATGCCCGAGTATAGTTCCATTTCAGGGGCTGGAAGGGGGTTTCGGGTTTCTCCTATAACTCTTCAGACCACTCTGATACCCTGTGGGTCTAAAGGTACTTTGATTTGCGGCAGCTGGCTTCTGCCACTGTTTACCATATGCAACTTCCGCAATACAGGGGCCTCAAAAATTAGAGCAGCGACTTGGGTATTTTATACTACATATAGTATGATACACCCAAGTCGCTGCTGAACTATAGTTGTAATTCGGAACCCAAACATCAAAGGTGACGGACCCGAAGTCATAACTATGCAGCAATGGCAAAATCTGCGTAATCGGAATCGTCCCACCAACATCAATCATAGAACTACTTGCAAACTGGCAGACTGAAAAAATGTCACGAATGAAAACCACCCGGACTCAGGATAAGACAATACTAGTAGGAGTTGTCTTTTCACCAGACTCAAACCACACCTTCATCTCTGCGTCGCTGTCCCAACATGCCCTGCAACCCCTCGAAGACGCCATCAGAAGACGCAAGCCACAGAAGCTGAAGTTCTATCAGGATCCAATTAAAACTAAATCGCTGTGGGTTCGAGAATAGCGGATCTTATTACATACAGTATTTAGGTTTCCATAAGGGGGGCCCCGATTGTCGAGCGGCAGATTTTCGATAGGCTCGTCGGCAGCTGTATCGTCAGCTGCAGCATGCAGCACACACTGGCCAAAAGGCGACAGTTGCTCGTCCTCGGCGGCAGCGGCATTAAGGAATGGTGGTGTCAAGCTTTAGAGATTTGGGGGTGCAGGAACTTGACTGGGGGGGTCCATTCTACAGAGGAGCTTTCGTCTCTCAAGGTTGTGAGTAGCGGGACGAACATACTGTAGCCACGGAGGTAAACCAAAGAATGTAGGTCCGGATGACAGTAGAAGCTGGTTCCACGAACGTACCTGGTCCTGTTCCTGTCAGCTGAAAACTTGAAGTCATGTAGAAGCCTAGATACTGACCAATATTATTCCTTAGACTTCCTCTATATAATTATCGTATGAAGGAGCCCGATTCTATTCTGTTTATTAAGGCTCCTACATTATACCTACACGAAGTTGTAGCCCTGCGCAGCACACACGCCACTCCAAGATCTCATCCTGCTGCTGCAACTCACACGGAAAACCTCAACCCTAAACCCCAGAAACAACCCTGAACCCCAAAACCCTAAACCCCATATAAAACCTAAACACAACATTCACAATCTCCTCCATCTCTATGAACTCGAAGCTGTGACACTCCTGCGGATAACAGGGGGCTGGATGATTCAAGAAGGGTTGAGTGTTTAGGAATAAGAGAATGCTGCAAGTGGGTACACATGCTGCGACGGAACATGGTATTTCAGTCGGCTATTGAAGGCTACTGTACTACGTACTGCCTATCGCATGACTTGGGGTCCATTGGAGCCTGCAAACACACCATGAACTTTAGTTCCTGACTGAACGGCCGCTTCACGAAGTTTCTGTGGAAGAGCGAAGTCAGGATGAAGGGTTCAAGGTTTACCAACTTCGTCTTGGGGTATGAGGGTTAGCTTTAGGCTGGCTTGTAGGCTCGAAACGGAAAATTATTGCATTCCTCTGCCCGAAGTCAGAAAAACAGCGAATTCTCAGAACAAAGGCCTGGAGTCCTGCAGAGGAGAATTTCTAGCAGATTCTAGCACATGCTTTCACATGCTCAATAGGCATAGCAAAGTGTCATCTAGGGGCCGAAAGAATCAGAAGGGGGCTTTGAGGCATGTTCTGAACTTGGGTTTTGGGTTTTGGGTTCTGAACTTTCTACCGCGATTGCAGAATATGATGGCCGCTTCCGAATTCTACCCATAGGCCCTAAAGTAGTTCCTTTTTGGGCTCATATACAGAATCCTATAAGGTAACCCCAGAAAGGAACTACTATGGGGCGTATGGGGAACGAGTGGTATGGCAGCTTTTGATTCGATCCTCCATCAACGCACACCAGTCGGCACACATCCTTGGCTCCGAAAGTGAAAGAACTGGAGTTCGAGATCGCAGATGTTTTGGCTTGAACTCCTTTTGGGGTTTATAGGGTTTAGGGTTCAGGGTTTAGGGTTTAGGGGTTTAGGGTTTACGGTTGATCATCAGTTAGTTGACATGGTCGGTTGATGTCATCATATCACATCGTGGCATGGTGCTTGTGATGTACGCACGTATGACATCTTCAATCGTGGTCACGACCTTGAAACCGAAATCCCCAGATACGCTCTCATGGTAAACGACATCTGAAACAAGGTTTTCCAGGCCGCACAGACAGAAGCATCCGCTCCGATCACTGAAGCACTGCGACAGATTACTGGAAAGATCGCGAAACGGCATTCAGTCTCACCTGGAGCCCTCAAACCTAGACCCTGCACCGAGCGAACTAAGCCCTAAGCCCTAAACCCTGAAGCCCAAACCCTAAACCCTAAACCCTAAACCCTAAACCCTAAACCCTAAACCCTAAACCCCAAACCCCAAACCCTAAACCCTGAACCTGGCTCTCGACAGCAGCTTGCACACTGAGGAGCTCTATGTTGGCCATAAAGGCCATGCCATCGAAGAACTCGAAATCGGGTGTTGCATCCTGCTTTCTACTCTTGGGGTTTCGAAGCTTAAGGGCTTAGGCCCTAGAAAAGTCGCTAGTAGCTCACACTTTTGAATCACGATGTACCAAACCATAGTGGAATGCGGCTGTAGGTTGTTCCATATTGTTGCATAGTACGTACAAAGCTGTCAGTGCTTGCGATCAGGGCACCATGTGTATCGGACATGGGCTATTCTCGGGAGAAAAATTGGCGGGACGTCCTATGACTCACATGCATCGGACACGCTGGGTTGCAAGATCACCAAATTGTCATGGATGCAATTGTCAGAAACTTCTCAAAATGTTACAAAGAGTGTGTCTGAATTTCATAGGAGGCAACTCCATTGCCAAGGTACTTGACTCCTACACTCTCGCTGCATCCCTATTCGAGCTCTAGTTGAGGAGAAAAGTCTCCTGAAATCCGAGTTCTGCCCAACCAAGACTGGCAAAGTGAAATCTCCGGCTCATGGCAACCCTGCAGCACTGTCCTCGGACCGGTTGCTACCTGAGATCGATGGCTAATTTCGATACTCCTATAGCCCTGTCTACTTGTCAAGGTCCCTACACTACACGAGTTGGGCATCTCAATATATCTTGAATGACACCTGAAGCCGAACCCCAATCCTCTTGGATGCTCGGACAAGTCTTTAAAAAAACGTATTTTTATGCATATTCAGGAAGCCATTCCTTGTATGAGCTAGGCCTAAGCCTTAGCCCACTTCAGGTGCCCCTCTTCCCAGGCGACAGCCGATAATGGCTCGGCTACTCCGAACCTACAGCCGGTTGAACACGCCACGTTTAATGACTTGTAGTTCTGCCGCAGTAGAGTGCCTGTATAGTTCCTTATTGCAATAGCTGTTACACACCCGCTTCTAATGATGTTGGCATCTATATTCCAAGGGAGTGTCGACGGGGCTTTGTCCCCAGCCCCATCTGCACGTATAAGACAAGAGTGCCTTGAATTACTCACCAGGCAACAAACCGATTGCAGCTGCCAAGTGCTTGCGTCCTGACATGCTGACCCTGGAACAGGCGGCTGCAAACAAACTCTTCTGAGCGCGCAGAGGATTCAACGTAAAAGGTGCGACTTTGAAACATGAGGGGAAAGGGGGGAGGGTTGACTGTCCGACCACTGAATGGCCCTTGCATGCATAACTGGTTCGGCGAGGGGTTCGGTGAACTAGTTTCCTTGGCGATGCAGGGTTTGGTTCAGTGCGAGTTGGCTGCCACCGTGAAAAGTTGCAAAAAAAAAGGCAATTCGGGGCCATCAAGGTGGCCGTGAGTGTCGCTGGAAAACCATCGAAACCATCGTCGTCGAGGCAAACGAAGTGGGGGTTTCCGAAAATAGGGGACCCTAATATAGTACCCCAAATAATAGGATCCTTAATATAAGGGCCCCAAAATAAGGTACCCCTAATTTTCGGAAACTCCCAAGTGTTTGTTGAGGTAGAAAAGTGTTTGTCACCGATTGAAAGTGCATGTTATGCATGTTACCTCCACTTACTCGACTCGTCGTTGCTCAAGAGTGGCCGCTGCTACTGTACCGATTGCCACCCACACCTCCAGTAGTGAATCATAAGAAATCTACGTGCCGATTCCTTGATATACTTTGTGGTAGCCGGAAGCGACAGGTGGTGATAATCCCTAAGCCCTCATTCCACATGTCCTAATGCCCTAACACCCAAAACTCTACACCCTAATCCCAAACCACAAAACTCTACCCTAAATCCTAAACACTGCGCTCTAAACCCTGAACCCTCAACATCAAAGTGAGTGAAGGGGCGTTGGAGCAGCACTGCAGAATGCAGCGCTGCAGAACTCGGAGCCTGACGGCGAGGAGATCCAAGATTAGCCCTTTTCTGTCTACTGATGTAAGTTCTGCTGTACCCAGAACCAAAAAAGCCCTTAACATATGTATCAGCCAACATATTATATGTATATACCCACATGTGTATATATATATATATATACACACATACATACAGATATGACTATGTTCCACCCCCCCCCCCCACCCGCGCTCATACCCAGATCCCGGTTCCGTTCTTCGCTTGGTCGGATCAGGCTTCTCGTGCCTTTGGCTGCTTTTGGCTCGAGACTTGGAGGCGGTGCAGGTTTGGGGCTAGCAGTGACTACAGTAGTAGGGTTTAGGGTAGTAGCTGTAGTAGCAGTAGCATTAGCAGTAGAGGCACAAGCACCTGCACCCTGGCGGCCTCAATATGATTAATCTATATATATATTTATATACATATGCATATATATATATATATATATATACATATATATATATATAAGCAAATACATATGTGTGTGTAAACATACATGCATGCATCCATCCATCCATCCATCCATCCATCCATCCATCCATCCATCCATCCATCCATCCATCCATCCATCCATCCACAACTTCAAACTTCCTAGTCTCCCGTTGTGCACGGACCTGCTCCTTCGCCATGAACGTGGTGGGCGTATACCTCAGAGGGCTCAAGGATGCACCATTTTCCAACGAGGGCGGTGTGGCGACCAAACAGGGGTTTAGGGTTTAGGGTTACAGGGCCCTTGGGCGCAAAGATTGACGAATCGTTGGCGCGGGTCGCATGCCACAGAAGTTTCGAGGTTCACAGTTTGGGCTTTGGTGTTTAGGCTCAACGGCCTCTGCTCTTATGAGGTATCTCGGTATGGGTCCCATTATCTCGTGGGTTTGCACCACTTGATATTTAGAATCTCGTTTTGGGTCATATGATGACCGAAATAGTAACTAATCATAATCCGAAGCCCTGAACCCTCAGGCCCTAAGGAATGAGATTCGTAACATCTCGTCTCTGAATCCTCCCAGTTCCGTGAGGCTTTGTCGGGTGCAGGGTTTCGGGCTCACATATGGCCATAAGGGCTCTCTAAACCCTAAACCCTAAACCCAGGGTACCTGCAAGGTCCGGGTAGGGTTTAGCAACCTCTGGGTCCCTAAGCCCTGCAACACCCCCACCCTTAGCTCCCTGGTTCCTCTGACAAAAACCCCCCTAAACCCTGGGGTCCTAAACCCAAGTCTTAAACCGGAACTAACTCCTTACATAACGTCGCAAACCCTTCTTAACCCCAATCTAACCTCTATAGACAGCATCGACACTGGTTCAACCTGCACAATACCACTCTTAAAGTACGTCCTGAAGTCTGAATTCTGGAACAGAAGGTCGTCGAATGTGAGCTCGAAAGTCCTGCAATCACTGAGCGAACCCTGAAGCACAACATCGAGAAACAACCCAATACACCGAAAATTCATTCAGAGATCCTATAAAACCTAGACCCTATATCCCAAAGAAGCTTAATCTCTACACGCTAAATCCCGGAACCAAAGCCGAGCAGCGTCGATCCCCCTTTCTTCTCGCTCTCCGACTGAAACTGCGCGCTGCGAAGGAAGTCCCTGAGAAATTCTACAAATAATGTAGGGGCAATACTAATTGGAATAGGGTTTTGGGGTATATTATACTATAATTCGAATAAGGGAACCCTCAAAATAGTATACAAGAATAACTATTCAGGGCCATTTAGTAGGGGGATTTCCTTTGAAGCCGTGAAGACTTGCCTTAGGGGTCTTATAGGGGGTCTGATATAGGGTTTCAAGTTCGGCCTTCAGAAGGACCAAAGAGGTCCTTTCAAGGGTTCCTCCAAGAGTTCTATTAGGGTTCAGGGTTTAGGGTTTAGGGTTTAGGGTTTAGGATTTAGGGTTTAGGGATTAGGGCTTAAGGTTTAGGGTTTAGGGTTTAGGGTTTAGAATATCGGTTTGAGGCTTTTGTTGAATCGATGGCTTGGTTGTCAATATAGAGACTCCGACACTTCCTGAAAACCGAGGCCCTGATGGGACAAGCAGCCCGACCTCATGACCTTAGGGGCTGAGTACCTTAGCCCCAAAAAGGTTCACCTTTTGAGTTATAGTAGGGTTAGGGTTTAGGGTTTAGGGTTTAGGGTTTAGGGTTTAGGGTTTAGGGGGGCTAAGTACCTTAGCCCAAAAAACTAGTTCATGGTTGGGGTAGTATTAAAAATGTAAATGTATATTCCTTATTGGGTTTAAGTACCCTTAAAAATGTAAAATGTTACCCAACTATGACAAAGAACAAGTTAACCTTTTGAGTTATAGGGTTATATAAGCCCCAAAAGGTTAAAGGTTACCTACTCAGCCCCTAAGTGACTAAACCCTGGAACCCTTAAGCCGCCAAAAGTCTAAAACGCTCAGGCCTAGCCCAAAAACCTCAAAGAACCCCAATAGTATCAGCTATAGCAGTAACCCTGAACATGTAGGGTCTTACTTGGTTGAGGAACACTAAACCCTAAACATCCCTAATAACCCTATACCTTAAACCCTTCGACCTTCCCGTGCAACTCGAGGGCTACCTGACATGAAAGGTACTACTGTAGGGTTTAGGGTTTAAGGTTTCGGGCCTTCAGGGCTTAGGGGCGCCGTCAGGAACTTCGCGCTTAGGTAGCGTTCAGGGGTAGGGCGAGGTAGGGCCTAGGCAGTGTAGGGTTTATAAAGGGTGCAGGTGTAACGTCCCAAGCCCCAAGAACCCAGAAGCACGAGCAAAGTAGACCTCACCTTGGACTTGTCGAGGCACCCTGCCTGAACCGCTAAACCGCTTTAGGGGCTACCTGCACCCGAAGAAACCTACCTCTACATAAGGAAACCATGGTAAGGAACCATAAAAAGGTCGGAGTCTGAGGGTCGAGGCAGAACTTAGGGTTCGAAGGCCCCGAAACTCCAAAAAATCCTAAGCCCTGAACGCATGGACTCTAAACCCCTTATAACGGCCATAACCTAAATATAAAGCCCCCGAAGCGCCAAACCACTAAAACTCCAGAATCCTAAAAGCCGCTGAACCCTGAACCCTAAAAGCCAGTCCTAAACCCCAAAGCGTCTGAGCACTAAACCCTCAAAGCCCTGCACTTGCCAGAGCACCCTTGCAGCTTCACGGTCCCTGGGTACATGATGTCGTTGAAAGCGTGGACCTGCACTGGAGCTTGTTAGTCCCTTATGCTTTCTTCAGAGTTGAGGGTTTAGGGTTTTGGGTTTTGGGTTTAGTTATGAGGGTCTTATAAATACAGAAAGGGACGCTGTGGGGATCTGGTTTCGTCGCACATACATTTCTACGTGTCTAAGTATAAATAAGGCTATAAGGTTTTTATGGTGTTCTGAGGGTAGGTTGGGTCTTGTAAACAAGCAAGAGCAGCCCATTTCAGGCGGTTCTACACTGGGGTCGTCCTTTTCCTATCACTCCTGAAAATTCCCCTTACACCAGAGAAGGGCCCTAAACCCTAAACCCTAAACCGAAGACCTTCAACACCTTAGCCCCAAGGCAGAGAGCTCGAAACCCCCAAGGCCTAGACCCCACGCTTTAGGGTTCAGGGCCCATCAACCCTGAAACCCGAATGTATGGGCCTTTTCGTAGTTTGAATAGGGCTTTAGGGTATAATGTTGTGTAAGTCTGATAAGGACCCTTATGGACCAAGTCATGAAGTTTAGGGCTTAGAGTTCCTGAAATCCCAACCTCCCCCTGCCGCGGGATTTCATTGAAAGAAGACCAGGATGACCCGAAAAGCTGAACAGAAGGAGCCCTAAACCCTTAACCCCTCAGCCCAAGGCCCACATGGACCTCCACACCAGGAAGAGCTTCAGCAACGCACTGCCTTTGACGCGGTTCAGGGCCGTTGCCCCAAAGACCTCCTTCTTTAAGGTGTGTGTGTGTGTGTGTATATTTCTATATATGTATATGTACGCATATATATATATATATGTACGTACATCTACATATATATATATATATATATGTATAAGCCACAATAAGGAACCCTAAACAAATGGTATGTTTTTCTGCCGCAGGTAGGGTTTAGCGCGTCCATTTTGGGGGGACCACCAGGACGGGCGCGGATTCTGAGACTACCTTAGGAGGTGCTGATATCTTTTGGGCTTAGCGTTGAGAAATCCCGACCCCCTGGAGGATGTAGGAGGTTTGGAATGGGTTAAGAGTTTATTTGGGGCTGAGGCATGTGATGAACATGTACGAAGTTTTTGCGATTTGGACCTGTGGTTTGCAAAGATCGGGTCAGTCTAATTGCCCCATAGACTCTTAACTCAACTCCGTGAACCAACAACTCTGAAACACAATCGCTGAACCCTAGCCCTTAGCTTACCCTCAAAGGACTCATATCTTAAGGCATTTGGGCCCAAAGACTGTATTATACAAAGCTCACGGGCTATTGTGATGCTAAGGGTAGTTAAAAACGGAATCTTCATAGCGAAGCATCCTGGACCCGAAAGTCTACACTGGAAACCTTGGAGCGCTAATTAAAACTGAAACCCTACATCATAAACCTGTGGCCGTTGCCAAGCCCCTTGATCCTTTGAGTGCTTGGCCCATGTTAGACAAGAGCCAAGAGGCGCCAGGGGCGGGGATTTTCGCCCTTGCATCTGGCCAGTGGAGCAAGAGTCTAAGAACCTTCGGGGTGCAGGCGATTTTGTCCGGAGTCTCAAGAAGTAGACTGCGGCCTTCGGTGTGCATCAGAATGTAGCTGTCTTAAAAAGCCGGTGTACTAGAGTTTTGTAGGGTTTGGCATTGCCTTTAATTAGGGCTCCACGAAGATAAGCTCTGAGTGAAGTGAGGGTCTTTTGGGCTCACACATAGTTACCGAATGTAGCATGTACGGATTGCGCAGTCTAAGAGTCTGAAACCCTAAACCCTAAACCCTAAACCCTAAACCTGGAGTCCATAGTCCATACGGTTTAGACTGCTTAGAGGGTGTTTTGCTTTGGTGCTGTTGAGCCACCGTGAACGCAAAAATCACCCCCCTCCGCCTGCCCACCGGAACATGTGTAGACCAACTTCGAAAGCGAAATTGGAGCCAGAAACACTCCAGAAGTACCCACCCCTGAAGCCCCCAACAGAACCTACTTAAAAAGAGAGAGCACACATTTGCTGGAGCACGTTACACTGTTGATGTGGCATGGTCGCTAAATCCAATATAAACTCTAAAGGCCCGAGATCATCAATAAATGATGGGGCCCTGATGATTAGGATAGGATCTTGGTGCAAAATACGTTACACTGATGTGTGTATATATATATATGATATAAGAGTACACAGGTATATACATACACCTTCGGAACCCTAAGGAATAATACAGAAGTACAGCTGGTACCTATTCCGACCCCGCTCTTTTCGTCCTTATTTGCACTCTAAACCCTAAACCCTAAACCCTAAACCCTAAACCCTAAAGTCCAATGCACCCAAAGCCCTGCCCTACACACTGAGGCCCTCACAGGGGAGCTTCCGAAATCAAGGGGGGTACCTTATTTTGGGGTCCTTATACTAAGGATCCGACTACAGTATTTAGGTTACCATATATATATATATATACATACATACATATGTGTATATATATATATATATATATATGGGGTCCCCCATTTTCGAAAACCTGCATATTAAACCAGGCAGCACTGTTGATCTTGCATCGCCTGTGTGAATCAGGACCGGCTTCAAGGCCTTCAGAAAGGCGAGGCTCCAGACTCTGTTTCGGGCAGTTTAGGGTTTAGGGCTTTAGGGCTTTAGGGTTTTAGGATTTAGGGCTTAGGGTTTAGGATTTAGGGTTTAGGGTTTAGGGTTTATGGTTTAGGGCTTAGGGTTTAGGGTTGAGCGCTTAGGGTTTAGGCTTCAGAGCTTAGGCTTCAGGGCTTCGGGTTTAGGTTGAGGGCTTTGGGTTTAGGGCTTTGGGTTTAGGGTTGGGGTTTAGGGTTGAGGGCTCAGTGTTCACGATTCAAGGGCGCAATCGTGTCTGGCGGGCTTGGAGGGTGTGGGGTGCAGGGTAAGATCTCGGTCTCAGGGTGCATAAGACCAACCGCGCTCAGATGACCAGAGCTACTTGGAGGTTCAGGGGTAGTTCTGAGTGGGGTTATAAGTAGGGCAACTGCAATTATAGCCCGTATTAGTGGACTTATAACCCCACTTATAACTACCATGAACTTCCAAGTATAGAGGCAAGGGAGGAATGAGCAGAAGCAGTACACCCTAGACCCTAGACCCTTACTTTCAGCGCGAACGTCTTGGAGGAGCTGGCAGTCGAAGGGCCTATGTACACCTGAGTTTAGGGTTTATCGGGTTTAGGGTTCGGAATTATGTTATGTTTTATGGTTTCGGGTGTAGTCGTAAAATAGTCGAATTCGACAGTTTCAGGGGGTTGTGCAGGCCGTTGTGGGACGTGAAGGAGGTGCATCACGATTGAAGCCTGCGGGCGGTGTGAAGTCTAGTGCGGCCTTCGTTCCGAAGGGCAACAGAGGACCTTGAGGTGGCGGTTTAGGGTTTAGGGTTTAGGAGTTCGGGCTTTAGGGGTTTAGGGGTTTAGGGTTTAGGGTTTAGGGCTCATTCACTTACTTTAAAGTCTTGTATCTTCATGCCAGCATCAGAAGGAACAGCTTTGCCAAAACCCTAGTCTAATTATTAAGCCCCCTACATTGCTTCCACTGTGCTGTTTGATCCGCCAAGCAGGTGGCCCTGGCAGAGTTTAGGGTTCAGGGTTTAGGGATTCTGAAAATAAGGGGCACCATATTTTGGGCTCCTTATAGTAAGGATCCTACTATTTAAGGTACTATACTAGGGTCCCCTTATTTTCGGAAACCCCCAGATGAACAACCCTAACTAAACTCTAAGCCCCTCACTTCGCCGGCTAACTCGATAACTTGCGCCATATCTCGGGGCCAGCTTGTGCTGGGCGCACCGTTGCTGCACGCAAGCGGATATACTTGCAATAAAGCTTTCTGGGCTACTGGGGCAGATGGCAGTGGGGTGGAAGGTATAGGGTTTAGGGTTTAGGAGGTTACCGGACGGATGTCGGCACACGCACTGCCAGTGCGTCTACCGACATGCGTTGTGCGACTAACTGCACGTCGGATTGCTTGCGCGGGATCACTTCAAAGCAAGGAGTGCATGGCTGCGGCATAGACATGCGGCTAATCGCAGATACCCTAAAGCCTAAACCCTAAAACCCTGGAACCTAAAACCCTAAACCCTAAAACCCTAAGCCCCAAACCCCTAAACCCTAAACCCAAAGCCCCAAACCCCTAAATTCCTTAAACCCTAAAACCCTAAACCCCTAAACCCCTAAACCCTCAACCCTAAACCATTTAAACCCTAAACCCTAAAACCCTAGAGCCCTAAACCCTAAACCCCTTAAGCCCTAAAGCCCTAAGCCCCTAAACCCCTAAACCCTCAACCCTAAACCACTTAAACCCTAAACCCTAAAACCCTATGCGCGGCTTGCCGAACGGGAGGGTTTGAGCAGCCTCCCGGCACCTCTGCAGAAGGGGCGACCTCGGGTTTTGCTTAAAAGTTGGATTTAGGGTTTAGGGTTTAGGGGTTGAGGGTGTAGGGTTTAGGGTTTAGGGGATTCACGGGGCTTTGCAACTTATAGGGCTTTATCGGAAAGGTATCTATTAATATTTATAGCTCTCAGTTAATGTATCCTTAACCTCCCTTACTTAGTCCCATGATCCTCCCAGAAGGGTATTAGAGTTCGGAAGCGCCGGGGCTCCTCCGCGAGGCCTGCAATCGCTTCTTGCTTTGTCCCGACCTGCTGCAGCCAGTTTGAGCTGTCGGAGTTTAGGTATGACGCGATCAGAGCGTGGACATCGGTGCAACGACCAGGAAGAAGAGCCAAAAGTCAACGATAGCATTCTTTGAAGGCTTCTGGACTATGGGGTCGCAGCTGCTTCTTGAGGCTTGGGTTGTTCATCTCCGTACTGGCATAGACACAGTCAACAGAGTCTTGAGCCCCATAGGACGGAGCACAGTCTCCAACGGACTGGTCGCACAGATATGTCCATGGGGTTCCTTGAAGGGTTACTATAAGGGTGCTCGTACAACAGATGCGCCTGACAATGTCGGATGAACTTGAAAGGTGCGCGGGTTGCTAAGGGGTTTTTACTTGCGGTTTCGCACACGACTTCGAGCCATGAAATTCATAATATATATCTATATATATATATATATACTGTGATCTTAACATGTCCAAACTAAAGCCCCCAGTAGATTCCTGGCTGGAACCTTCAATAGGAACCCTTACTGATAGTTGCTTGCAGGAACACTTAATGAAGACTTACCGGCAGGCCAGGGGCACATCGTCAACATCTCCTCAGTTGCAGGCAGCCGTGCCACCCTTGCGGGATTCACGGGCCGGTCTACGGTTAGGGCTTAGGGACAAAAGGTAAGCAGCACCTCCAAAAGAAGGGGTTTAGGGTTTAGGGTCTAAGGTCTAAGGTTTACGGTTTAAGGTTTAGGGTTTAGGGTTTAAGGCAAGTTACAAGAAGACATAGAGACAACCTGAATATGACTTGGAGCTGCAGTTGCCTGAACCCTAAACCTTTATAACCTCGTCATAGCCTAAAGCCCAAACCCCAATTACCTAAAGCCAAGGTATACTCCGCAATTGAGGGAGTCCTTGGAGGATCATGGAGCTACGTGAGTAAGACTACTGTTGATGAGATAAATCCTGCATTACCTGAAGGACCCTAGACTATGGGAATTATGGTATATTCCTTATTATGGGTAATGCAGGATTTATATCATCACCCGTATATAGGGCTGTATGGAGTTTGTGTACGTGCGCGGTATGGCGTTCTATCGGGCTTTGGGGCCTAGGGGACTTCGTAACTGAGGTTACAAGGTTTAGGGTTTAGGGCTTTGGGTTTGGGGTTTAGGGTTCGGGCTTAGGGTTTGGGGTTCAGGGTTTAGGGTTTACGGTTTAGGGTACCATAATTGGTGTTATAGGTATTACAGGAACTTGTTATAGGTATCCTTACCTTGGCACTTGCAGCCCTAAGCGCCTATAGATCACATATAGAACCCTTTAAGGAACCTTTGAAATCCGATTATGCTGCGGAAAAATGAGTTGGGTGATCAGGGACCCGAAACCCTCAATGAATTTGTTGATCCAGGTCCCGAAAGACCAAGTTGAGGTTTAGAGCCGCGGAGAATGGCACAAAGGTCAATGCCCGACTTCCTTAGCAACGTACCACACGATAAACCCAAACCCTTACATATATATATATATA